CGGCGGGGATGGGGCAGAGACCATGCCCTTTTAATTGGGCTTGTTCTCGGCCTTTTTGTGCTCCGCTGGAGTTGTAGTAGCCGCCGGGGAGCGATGCGGGGGCTCTTGTGCTCGTCTGCAGGGTGTTCTTGTGTCCGCTCTTGGTGCGTTCTTGGCCTTGGTATTGGCTCTGAGGGCAGCTTCCAGAATGCCGGAGATGCCTGCCGAGTCGTCTTCCTGCACTTCTTTGGTGAAGGCATCCCATTCGGCCTGGACGTCCTCGAAAAACTCCGGCTCTTCCGTCTCGACCATGTCCTCGTCCTCGGCGATCACGTTCCGTAGCTCGGCAAGGGCTGAGTATGGGTTTGCCTGGTGCTCATCCTTCTCCTCCCTGAGCTTTTGCTCTTTCTCTAGGAAGCGCTGTCGTTCTTTGTCGAAGGAGCTCTGCATCTCCTTCTGGAAATCCGCCCATTTTTCTTGGAGGGCAGCCATGTCTTGGTCGGTCTTTCGGATCCTGGTCTCGCTCGTTCGTCCCGGGCCGTCTTGCGATGTCGGGAAGCTGCTGCTTGTTCCCGGCTGGCAATGTTCATCTCCTCGAAGGACGGGAACTTGTACTGTTCCTGCTGGACCTGCCTGGCCATTGATGACCAGCGGTCCTGTTGCCAACCGCCACCACCACCATGGGAGGCCCATTGTTCTTGTTCTTCCCCCCATCCTCGTCCACATGAGTCCTTTGCGACTCATTCGGCTTAGCAACCCTTGTACGTTGGTCGGCTGTGGTGGGCAGCCAGGTATGGGAGGTTGCGAGCAGGGGGAGCACGTCCTTCTTTCCGAACTACAGCTCGGTTTGGACGAAGCCGTCTGTGCCAGCAGGGCGACTTGGGAATGGCTGAGAGCACTTGGGGCGATCGGCTATGATAGGAGCGGTCCCTCCAGCTCGATCCGAAACCCTGCGTGTTAATATAGAAATATATGCACGCACACCCAGGTACGGTTTGTCCTTGGTCCTTTCCTTCGCAACTTTGGTCCACCCTCTCGTCGAGCGCATGAGAGCCCCGGGCTTGAGCTGCAGCCATGCGTTTCAGATCTGCACTGGCGATCAACTCGAAACCCTTTCAGAAGCACATACCAAATCGCGGCAACAAGGGCAAACAATAGCACGAACTGCAAACCGACAGCCCATGAAGGGCAAATTTCTGCGCATGGGCTCTGTGAGCTAACGACAAAGTACAAGAACCATTCGCGTCATCGAGACAGCAGTCGCTTGACAACGATCTCTTGGAAAAGAGATCTTGCGGACCATCGTTTCCACTGAAATTCCGTGATGGTCTATGGCCGATAGAAGTGTTGAGACGGCACAAAGGTCTGTAGAGCTGCAGGATCACCCCGAGCATGCATCCCTACTTGCAGACGTGATTTTATGTAACACCAACCACGGCGATCAACCACTCGGGGTACGTGCACGACGATGCTTGTGCCAAGAACACTGCGAACCCACTGGGGCCCCGAAGGCCAGCACATACGCCTTGAGGGTTGGGGTCTTCGAGCCCGACAACAGCGAAATTAAGAAATCCTGTAAAAGGACGATTTCCAAATGCCGGAAATCGTCAGCCATGTGTTTAGCCTCCGTTGCGGATGCTGGAGCTCGTGGCGGCACAACAGTAGATGTGCAGCCTTTCTGTCCCCACGGCTCGATATTTAGGCCCTCGGGTGGAAAGCACGACGGGTTCCTAATCCTAGGCAGTTTACACGAGTACATGGCCTTCATGTGACCTCAAATTCCGAGTTGCCAGGCTGAACAGATGGCAGAGCTGCGCAAAAGCTGGGCAGCGCAGAGCCACCTGATCTGAAGCGGATTCCGGACGGCGGATTTGGGAGTATAGCTCACATTTGGGGTACGCGCATTCTCGAATCTGAGCTTCGTAAGAATCTCAATCTTTCGAATTGGATTCAGGGCTTCCTCTGGTCTTCCCTCCGCACTTGGTAGGTTCCTTTGCAACCTGAGGCCGGGTAGAGGAGTCGCTTCCGCAGATCGTGTGATTTTCGCTCATTTGTCCCCGCGGAAACCATGGCCTGACTAAGGACACGAGCCAACCCAAGGATGCACAAAGGGCTCCAGAAGTCACTTCGTAGGATCCCTTCATCATAAAGCCACGGCTCTTGAACAGACTAGCTCCAAAATCTCAGTTGCCCACAGTTCTTTAACACCTGGCTCCACGTTGAAACCAACAAGCCCATGCAATGAAGCTGCGAAAGAACATGCTCTTTCTCGAACGTGGACATCTATTGTATGAGCAGTTGCCATGAAAGGAACTGGATTCCCAAAGCCGAGAGTGCGCTTCAGGCGAGACAGCTCGGGCAGCGCTGGCTGAGGCAAACCGATTGGATTCTCGACCGGCGTGGGCTGGGGCTGACTGGGATCTCTTTCTCCCTCTGCTTGAAGGCCCGAGGCGGACTCCGCAGGACCAGCTTCAACAGCTCCTACCAAGCTCCAGAAACTCTGATCCACACTATCGGTTGACAGGACTCTTCCTCAACAATGGGCCTCAGAACACACCCAGCTTCCATGAAAGGTTGAAGGAGGGGATGTTGCTTTCAACTCTGCGATCCTCAGCCGAGCCAGCTGAGACCCTCGTGCGTGACAGTACGGGTAATCAGGAATTGGTGGCACACCGTGCACTTGTCAGTCTTAGACTGGCAATTTCGGGATTCATGAGCTTGGCATTAGGCTTCACAGCGGACAGGCGAACCTGCAGATTGAGTCTGCAGACTGCAACGACGATGCGTTCAAGAGCCGCCCGTCTCTTTCAAGGGACAGTCCTAGGCATTAGATCGCATAATTACCATACAGAGAGGTAGATCACAAGGGTTGAGTTTTCTTGGAGCTGTGGGGGTTTACAAGGTGAGCCGACTCGTGCAGAGAAATGAGGCCGTTCCGGCTTCTTCATTCCGAAAGAAGCTGTGTTATCGGACAACGCCAGACCCGACCTTCGTGGGAGCTCTTGATGATGATTGCAGTGACGATGGGGCTTTTGGTTGCGATTGCGGTGACGACGATGAGACATGATGATGATGATGATGATGATAATGATGAAGATGATGATGATGATCGATGATAACTATGATGACGGTGATGGCGAGAGTGAGCATGGAGAGCAATCACCACGTCGACGACAATGTTTCAGAGGGGGGTGGGTTAGAGGCCAAGGCCGTGCAGGTGATGATGGCGATGGTAGTAGTAGTTCGATGCCGCTCGTCTAGGCAGCGGACAGCACCGCCTCGGAGAAAAGTTTTCCAGACGCACAGGTATCATGATTGAACACCACTGCGACGCCACGTGCTGAGTTCAGAACACGGATCTTGGATTGGGCCAGCGGATCAGCTGTTGCACGGGATCCTTCATGGAGCAATTGAGAGCAGGCTGGTTAGAGTGCGCATTGGTCAGGACATGTCGAAGCATTGTTATGTGTATACACACATGCCTATTCATGGTGGCTACGAAACCACTACTACCAGGACGGCGACGAACATGGCCAAGTTCATGATGTTGATGGATGGATGCCGTTCAATCCGCCCCTTTTGTGCTGGAGTTGGTGAGGAAGACTACCAATATCAAAGAGTGTGACGAGTGTGATGATGGATCGTTGTACTATGCCCTGCCGCTCTGATCGACACGAGTAGGAATGCCCACAGCCCACAAGTCATGCCGCTGATTTGGCTGATGTCGCCTGAGCTTACTGACATGTTAGCATGACTGTTTCATTAGGAATACTTCCGGAGGCTCAAGTGTCTCAAGCCTCATTTCGTATACCAGTATTGTCGATATTGCTACTGTAGCAACAGCGCTCCCAGAATGCAACGAGAAGCCAGGTTACAAGTGCCGCTAGTATGATTGGTTATACACGAAAGTCCTATCGCACTGTTTGATTCAAGGTTTCTGCTATCGTTACTGCTGCGTCTCATCTTTTGAACAGTAAGCCCATGACTGTTGATTTGCAAACTGCTACTATTACCCTACAGGTCATATCCAACTGCGTAACGCGAAATGAAGTGCCTTCTCTACATAGAGGAGTTTGGCTACAATCAATCTTCGTCGCCTTCATTCATGGACGCGTGCATAGAAGGCTTCTGTGGTTTTTATGACAACGAGCACCCATCAATCAGACGAAGCAAACACCAGGACTTAAGCTGAAGATTGAAGCTTTCAGTAAGCATTTGTCTATCTAGCTGTCTGTCTCTCTGCTTACAGATATAATATGCACACGTACATGTACATATACGTATAAACATCTCTGTCTCTCTGTCAATGTGTACAGTGATTGTGTAACACGTCCGTATACAGATCTTTGCGGAAGAAAGATGCGATGCATTAATACATGACCGTAACCTTTAATCCCTTTGTCGCGTTCATAGCAGAACGTAAGCTTCTTTCATCTTACCTGTAAGCGGACAGCTGGAAACTTGCACGTGAAAGCGCGTCAAGGATGCTCGACTATCTGCCAGGCTGCAGGACCAGCCAGGGAATAATTCCATTCTTGCTACTTTTCGGGCCACTGGGGTTTCTATAAAGGATGGACGATTTCGATCTCGAGCCCTGAATCCATGATTTCGGGCTTCGGGTATGTGAGAGCAAAAACATTATAGATGAGAAGGTATAGAGACAAGGACGACCGCTTTGCTGGATGCTCCGGAGGATAGCGAAGTACAAGTTCGGAATAGTTGCACAAGCCAGGCAACGAAGGTATCCTGACCATTGATAGAATTGAGCAGCTAGAAGAGCGCATCGGGCACTTCGTTCCAGAACCCTGGATATCCCTGGACCCCACCAGCTGCAGACATAGACAAAGCATGTCGCAGCTCTTCGGTAGAGCAGCTCTATGAACGGCGTTTCATCGGGCCAGGGCTCGGCTCCTTCCACAGAAGCCCACAGCACCTCGGAAGCACCCTGCATTCTCTCGTCATCGCCGATTTCGTTGCGATATTGTTTCGGAGACTGCATAGAGATCCGATCTCCGCAGCACATGGCAAGCATGCTGCAGGATTTGCGCGACGAGTGGCAAGCCTTCGAGAATCTGCTGGATGGTCTCTATGGGTGGCTCCGGGCTCAGCATTCTGGAGTTGAGCTTCTTGGGGTTCTGAGCATTGGCTTATCGAGCATGAGCTTCCACGGTGACCAATCCGGAGCGCTCAGGCTGGCATCTCCGACATCACTGCTTTATGATGCGGCGCTTCTACGAAGGGTGCGTGCTCAATTCATTGCTCGTCGTTGGTCGTGGTCTTGAATTGGAGAAAACCTTCAGACTCCATTGTAGCACTATCCAGCGTAGAATGCTACATACTACTCAGGCTATACAAGAGCCTCTCGCAGCTGAAAGCTTGTGAGAGAGAGAGAGAGAGAGAAAGAGAGAGAGAGGGAGAGCGCGAGCAAGAAAGAACGCAAGAAACAAGGAATGAAAACAAGAAAGAGCGACATCTGACAGACGCAGGACACATCACATGTGCAAAGCTTTGGCAGAGCGGCTCTGCTGGGATTTACAACTACGCCCAACGACAAAGAACCTGAATCCTCAATGGGAAACACCAGACGGACCAAAAAGACGATGGCGACAAAACGGATCATGGATCATGGGTGCGATCATAACCACCAGGATTAGCAGAATGATAACAATGAGGGCGACGACGACGACGAGGACGACGATGACAGCAGCACCAGGGACTGTGGCAAAAGCAGCCGATTGCAACAGCAGGGCAGTGGAAAAGTCATGCTGCATGACCTGCGGCAGGTACACCAGTACATGGACAGAGTCTTGAAAATCCTGTTGGACGTGGTCCGACGGAACGGCTGCACTGTGATCCATGCCTCTCACAGCAAGGCAAGGCTAGATATCTGGACATCGCGGTCCCGCAACTGCAAAGCTTCCATAGTTGAAGGGCACCAAAGGCTCAAAGCAGACTTTCATCTTTGGCCCGAAGAGCGCCTGTACCTCCGCCCACATCTAGAATTTCGCAAGCACTGCAGTACTTTATTTCCTGGACACTTGGGGCTGCGGGCACGTAATGTATGTATCGCGACATTGTGAGCTTCGGAGCACCAGCACTGGAGGCTTGAATGCCTTAGCAGGTTCAGTGGTGGGAGTCGAAGCGCATCAAGGTTCTGGATTCTGGCTGGGTGATTTGTCCTGGATTTGGGAGAGAGGAAGGATTGTTGGATAGCCATTGCATCTGAGTTCTTCAGGGGCATGCCTGCAGAGACGCGAAAGCGTGCTGTCGTGTCGGTTCAAGTGTGGGGTTCGACCCTGGCACAGCCCGATTATGCGAGACAGCCAGCGTGAACTATTCCAGAGCATCCAGCACAATGCCAACCCAGTACATGACTCCTATCACTGAGCTACCCATACCACTTGTCCGGCTCCTGCATTGTGTGGTCCACCTCGTTTTCTGTCTGTGTTTGTGTGTTTCTGGTGTGTGCTTGCACGCGCGGCACGAAGTAAGTGCACTACGCAAGAGTGTAGTATAACTAAGCTTCGCATCGCTCCCATCGTGGTGACACTATGTTGCTCCTGCGCTCAGTGCAAAGAGGATCTGGTTTCTACGGCTTTCGCCGTGGCGCGGCGAACACATTCGAGTAAAACCGGGTTTTTTCACTGCCAAGTCTGGCAATGTCGTAGAGTCCCACAGTCTGGCGCTGCCGAACTTCATGAATCGCGCTGGCGCGACAGTCCTGTGCTTCAATCCTTGCTCCCGCCGCAGTGCTGCGAGAATTTTGCGATGCGCACGGTCTTTCTGCCACAGTCCACCGAATGTCTGCCTTCCGAAATCGTGCTGCAAGAGTTTTGGTTGCGAATGGTGTACCCGCATCCAATATATAAAACTCGTGCCAATCGTGCTCGCCACCATGTCGGTGCACATTTTCCACTCATGGCGTGGTGTTGGGAACTTGAGGAAACGTCTTGAATGGTTCTTGGGCTTGCAGGGCTTGGACTGCTTGTGTTCTAGCTTTGGGACATACGCTACCATGATTATCACACGCTGCGCATCCAACGGGGCATGCTGCGTGACGAATCCCTTGCCCAGCACGCACAGGTATGAAAAATGAGAGCATGTAGCTCATATGCATTCAATCTATGCACCACTGTCCTGCAACCGCATCTCGAGGATTCAATCATAAACACTGGATCGGTGCCTCTTAGCCTGGAGACCTGAACCACATCGAGGAAAGTCGAACTCGTGATCCCGAACATCAGCAAAACATGCACTGCTTGGACAACCGAACGTATCCTTGGTGTGTCCGTTTTTGTTTAACCCCTCCCGTCTCCGTTTACTCACAAGCCAGTGTTAGTAAAGCCTGCAGCAACTTCAGCACTTTCACCCCGGAACCCCAGCTGTTTTTGGCATTTGCTCAATACAGCAGCCCATGGTTCGCCGCTACGATGATGGTCGCGGCTGGCGCCTACCACACGGCAGGGGAGGGGAGTGGAGAGGAAAGGAAGGGAAGCGACAGGCAGACGAGAGGGAAGCAGTCGGAATCCTGCACAACACAGCCTCTGCAGATGACAAGGAAGTGGTCGCTAAGACTCTGAAACCCACTGGGACTATACTCATAACCACTCCCAACCCTAAGGTCACGCAGGCCGCAAACTGTTACAGTACTGCCTGAAGAATGATTGCTCTCACTGGCGATTGAACCTCAAAGCCCCAGGCACCCCCCAAGCCGCAAACCCTAAAAGAGCACCAAAGCACTGCAGGTGATCTTGCAGAATGGCCGCGCCTTTGCGTGCGGTTGCAACAATCACGGCCAGCCATTCGTCGGTACTGAAGCTTTAGAACTATGGTGTGGGGCATTGAGGGAACTTCAGAGTTTTGGCGCGTTGAGTTGTCAGGAATTGGAACCTCGGTGTCGGCTTCAGGCTCCGACGATACCAAGTCCAGCCGCAGCGGCAACCGCTGCTGTCTGTTAACAATGTCGAAACACATGTATCAAAGTCATAGCATGCATAGTAGGAGACTTATGACCTACGAGTACCAGTGTTAAGTCGTCCCGCGTTGTGTAAAGTCGACCCGCAGCGGCGTGACCTTGGGTGTACCCATTCAAAACAGATGTGCACCCCAGCCCTGAGACATGCTTAGTGGTCAGCCCGTGGCGGCGTGAACATGGGGATTCCTGTTGAAAGCATATATCGATTCCATGCCTGGAGATATGCCAAACGGTCAACCCACGGCAGTGTGAACGTGTGAAATCGAGCCTCTGCATCGGGAAT